TTGTATTGAATTAAGCATTATATCACGTTCATGTTTCCAAAGATCACACTCCCACAAGATATGATGGGCAGACTGCTCATGACTGACATCATCAGTGGAACACTCGCAAAAAGGAGACGGAACTAGTTTGAATTCGTGAAGTTTATGTTTAAAGTTGCCATGTCCCGTGAGGAACTGCGACGAGCAATGGTCGATTTCTAACCATCGCCTAGTTAGACGTTCGCGTACATTCGGGAAGAATTTATATAAGTGACGTCCTTTGACTGACGTATCCCATCTTTTTTGCCATTCATTAAGTAAATCTTCTTCAACTGTCTGTCTGTCTGTCTGTATGTTCCTTATAGAAACAAAAACTACTCGACGGATTTTAACGAAACTTGGTACAATTATTCTTCATACTCCTGGGCAGGTTATAGGATACTTAGGAATTCCCACGGGAACGGGCATTAGCGGGAAAATCCTTTTGTATGAAAAATCTAAACCGCTTAAGTTAGACGCTTGAAATTTGGCAAGCAGGTACCTTAGTAAACTTTAAGCTTAGTTATAACAGGATATTGCAAAATTCCTACGGGAACGGGAATTAGCGAGAAAAAACATTTGTATGAAAAAATCTAAGCCACGTAACATAGACGCTTGAAATTTGGCATGCAGGTACCTTAGTAAATTTAAAGCTTAGTTACAACAGGATATTGCAAAATTCTCACGGGAACGGGAGTTAGCGGGAAAAAACATTTGTATGAAAAAATCTAAACCACGTAAGATACATGAAGGGGGTAAAATGGGATCCACGCGTACGAAGTCGCGGGCATTCCTCGTTGGGGATAAAATAAAGTAACTTATTAATAAATATCGCGTTACTTAATATTAAGACCCGTGTCTTTCTATTTATATCTATTAAATGAAATGTCACTTTGCCAGTCATTTCTGTTATCTAAAGTCACCTTCATTGACAATAATAAACTTATTTTTTATGCTCTTTTTCACAGGTCGAGTCTTCGCCACGGCTATGATCAAGACCATAGTGGTGCATGTGATCCGAAACATGCATTTGGAAGCTGATGGTGTCATGGACGACATACCTTTAGAAGTAGCCATCTCTGTCAGATCAGCTAATGGGTACCAAGTCAGGTCGAAGCCGAGAAAACAAAATGGGGTGAAAGTTAATGGAGTTGGACACAAGTGAAAATGTTTGAAGGTTAAGTGATTTTCATAAACCGTCTCAAGACTCTAAGTGACTTTTTAATAATAGTTCAAGAACCGACGTACCCAAGTGATAATAAAATAGAGTGGCAAACCTCCTGGTAAAGGCTGAGTTGGACCACCTTATTTTAACCATGACCATTTAACCGGTGTTTTTGTATAGAGTTTGACAGACTTTTGACATTTGTTAAAGTTAAAGTAAGACGGTGTAACCCAGCCTTAAAACTCTACATAAGACCTATTTCGGCATCTTAATACCTATGTTGAGCCCCAACTAGTAATTATGCAATGTTGTTTGACAAACCAAATGTAAAATAAAATAAATTTAAGTAGCATACCTAAGTATTGAGTTAAATTTTATAATATGTTTCGTATCCAATGTTAAGTAATTACCTGCTTTCTGTTATTGCCATTTTCTGTAAAATAAATTAATATTGTCCCGAAGCAGTGGTTGGGTTAATACTGGGACGTGTAAAACTTTTTGAAAGCATATTTGCAAAAATAAATGAGTTTGATGAGATTTTTTTAAGAGTTTTAATATGTAAGCAACTCAATAAAATTTAATACATTCTGGGGTCTGGAAGATGATCCGAATGTTAAAAAAATTGGTTTCATTTGGTTGACTTTTGTAATATTATGACTGTTGTATGAAATAAATGCTGCCAATTTGAATTTATTTTATTCCTGTTAATCAATGTGTCCGTACAAACTTACTTAAATTAAAAAGAAAAATTAAAAATCGTAGAGACGTTTAAGAGCACTAACTGAAAAGAAATGAATTTTATGAATCGACAAACAAAGTGCATCCATAAATTCCAGAATATTGATTGCGAATATAAATAGTTAGGATTGAATTGATGATGATGATTGAAACTTGGAGTGTAAAGGCGGGGCACATAGCTCGTAGAGACGATGGCCGTTGGGGCAGAATTTAAAGCTCTCGAGTGGCAACCACGGGCCTGAAGACGTAGTGTGGGCAGGCCTCCCACTAGGTGGACCGACTGTCTGGTGAAGGTCGCGGGAAGAACCTGGATGCGGTCAGCGCAGGATCGATCGTTATGGAAATCCTTGGCGAAGGCCTTTGTCCAGCAGTGAACGTCATTTGGCTGAAACGAATGAACAAACAAGAGTCAATGATAATGATATGATAGAGCAGTAAGCTCCTTACCTATTTTTAAAAGTAAAAAACATTCATTTATTCAAAGCACGTGAAAATGTAATGGATTCCCCCGACAAGATGCAAGCGAGCTTAGAATAGACGCATAATTCGAGGCCGACGAAGCAATACCAATTAGCTTAATATTTTGCGTATTTTTTAACATATTATATACCTATCGTTGGTGTACGTAATAAATAAATAAATAAATAGGGATGTTTTCTGGGTAAAAAAAGCAAGTTTTAATTAGTCCGTCAGTTGACTTATCAAAAAATACTCGACACCTATTTTTCACTTTTTCAAACTAATGAAAATTTAAAGAGATACAGCGCGCCAAAGTTTAAAAGAAGAGGCCCGTGACGTCAATTAGTGCTTAAAATTGCAGCACTTTGTGACGTCGCGCGGAACTTCAACGCACCATAACTTTGTAATTATGTGTTTGATAAGTTTGATTGACAATTAAAAATATACGTGTCCAATATTTTTTTATATTAGCCTATTCACGCGAACACCTATCAGGCGTCCGCTGTACATTTTTGAACTTTGAATTTTTTTCAGTGGAAGGCTAGAGATGCAGGTAAATTCTACAGAACCAACCTTGACCTAAGCACCTAAGTCTTATAGTTCTACCTAGTACAGTCAGCGTCAAATAATTGATGACACCCAAATTGGCCAAAAAGTTGACAACACAACCTTATTCCGATTGCAATAAAGACGTGTCACGAACTATTTGGCGCTGACTGTACCGTAAACAATTTTCGGCATCTGTCACTAAGCTTTTACGTAACAAACAACAAAGATAAACATCACAATCTTCCTTGAATTACATTACATTTATATGCAAAACGTAAAACACATTTGGAGCAAGTGTAAGTGTCAGAATACAAGGATTCTTTGGGTAAAAACGGTTAAAAACGTGACACGTTTCAGTTATTATTAACCTTCACTTAATACTTGTAATTTAAAACCCGTATACTTATGTACAAAGATTTTCATTGTTACATTTATTATTACTGTTATGTAGGTACTAAGTCTATGAAACATCTAACACAAATGCTTGCATTTATTACGTACTAAGACGATTTAGGGGGGAGGGGGGTCGACCATGTCTCATTTTTTCTTACAAGGGGGTAGGAGGGAGTCTCTATGTATAGTTCCTGCCTACCTGCTTCAGACGCAGTTCCTCGATTCCCAGTTCCCAGGGCAGATTTTTCTGTTCGGTTTGGTTGCTGGTAGGGCTTGTTCTTAGTCCGCCTGGCTAGCTACCACCATCTTACCTAAGTCTGTCGCCATAAAAACAATGTTAAAGCATTGTTGTGTTCCGGCAGTTAGAGGTAAGATAGCCAGTTCCTCCGTGGTTGAGGATTCCGGGTGAAGCTCGCTTCCACCTCCGGCCTGATCATCACTTACCACCAGGTGAGATACAGGCCAAGAGCTTCCTCGTTATGGATAAAAAAAGGTTAAAATAAACTTTGAAAAAACGCGGGCAACCGCGTAAGAGCAGAGTTTGGCTCGGATGCGTATAGGAAACGATTTCCATTTCTGTGGCAACGGACCCGCTCCACTTCACAGCGCCTCCTGGGAATTCCCCGCTTGGGTAGTCTTCAAACGTGTACGTATTCATTTTTTTTTTCATTAGATTCTTACGTAATAATATTAAACAAGAGGAGAAGGGGTTCTTATTAGGGGGGAGGGGTCAAAAACTAAGACTATTCTTACGTATAAATTAATGGCCCCATACCTACTTCAATTAACCAAATTGTATTTTTTTTTACTTTATTGTAAATAATAACAGATCAGAAAAATATATTTTATGAATTTATGACAATACCTACTCATAAATTATTCTGACATTGGTAAAAGTCCTAAAAAATAATTTTATTTTTGTTATTTTTTTTTTAATTAACTAACTAACTAAGTTTATTTTAACAAGCCCTCGACCTTCATTCAGTGAGATGCGGTTGTGACACATTGTGACTTGACCACATAAGTCCTTGTTAAGTTAGGCTGTGTTCACAGTTATGAGAAAAAACCTGTAGAGTGCCTTTTCGGATTTTTTGTTGAAGTTTGATCAAAAGCGCCAGTTCAAAAGAAGAGACCCGTGACGTCAAGGCCGCCGTATTGCCGCTGGGGCAGAAAAAATCTTGAATGGCGACCACGGGCTGGAAGACAGGGCCCCACTAGGTGGACCGACGATCTGGTGACCAGGGTCGCGGCAAGTGCCTGGATACGGGCGCAGGACCGGTCGTTGTGGAAATTCTCAGCTTTGTTTAGCAGTGGACGTTATTTAGCTGAAACGAACAAACGAACCGAGATTGTTTGTGTGTCAATAGCCTTTTTTGATCAGACGCTCCACAATTGTATGAAGAAAACAACAATTAGGTATATCGTTAAGAAGTGAGGGGGACAAAATAAGTCTATGACTAAAAATATTCAGTACCTACATAAATGTTCTTGAGTTAATGTGCAATTGTGCAAGCTGCACGAAGTCGTAACTCAAAGAAAACAAAAATTACGATCTTCAAAGAGCGCATATAAATAGTCCGTCTTTAAAAATTAAAATAGGTGATACTCCAGCGTGAATACGCCCCAACTGTTCATGTAAAGCACGCTACATTACCAACTTTATATGTTGTCACCGGTACTTCTCAGGGTAGTACTGCCGGCGGTAGTGGCCTGCGTGGAGCTCAACGAAACAGGTAAGCATCGATCGAGACTAAAGTGACCTACTAACTCTACTATCCGACACTTATACGACCTTTGGTTGCTACTATAACCGTAATAACACCATTATGTGCAATTATGCGCCTCGTCCTTTTGAGGCATTTGAGGACTCTACGGTGTGGACAACTAATTTAAAATATGCTATTATAACATAGTTCTAAAGATAAGTTATTGAAAGAGCCGCATCTTCTCAATTTTAAAGGATATTATCTATCAGTAGGGACCGGATTAAAATGCATTTGCATATTAGTCATTATCAGTAGCAATATTAGCATATTTTACCTAAAGTCTAGTGAAGATAAATAACAGTACATTTACAACGTTTTTCTCTGAGTGCACGGCACGGAAATGTGACAAAAGTGATAATATTTTTCAAATCAAACATTTCTACTTACAAATTAATGTTAATGATTAAAGACACAATTTTACCTCTGAACATGGAACTTGATTCTACAAAAATATACGTTCGTTATGCAGATAACTTATTTAATAACTTTTTAAAAAAATAAAACCGACTTCAAATGCGTGAACACAAAAAAAAACTAAAAATTAAAAATATTGCGTATAAAAAAGTTCATCCCCAATTTTCCATTCTCATTTTTTCTTGGGGGTGAAATATTTTCTTCAAATTCGCATGAAACCACCCTTTTGATAATACCTATTCAACAAAAAAATAATCGTTCAAATTGATTTATAATCGCCGCGGCGGAGATATTGCGTATAAAAAAGTTCATCCCCAATTTTCCACCCTTGGGGGTTGTTTTTTCTATAATTAAATTTAAATGGGACCACCCTTGAGGTATTACCTATACGCCGAAAAAAGATTTGTTCAAATCGGTTCATAATTGGCGGAGTTATCGCGTAACAAACATAGAAAAAAAAACATACGGGTCGAATTGAGAACCTCCTCCTTTTTTGAAGTCGTTTGAAAATGTTTTAGTAGTAGAATGTGTTTCTTTAATTGGCTTATGTTCAAGTTGTATTTTCCTGCACATTTATGTACAATTAAACAAATAAAAAAATAAACCTAGCCTAGCTATACCGTTCAAACCTCAGTTCAAACACAAGTTCCTTTATTGATTGCATGGTGTCTCTGTTATGATTACGTTACGACAGAATCAGATTCACGTTTTACATCTTGGTACCATTGGTACTTACGAGTATCATAGAAGTGTAGAAATTACGGTCGTGTTTTTTTGCAAAAAATCTTGTAAGTGGGTTTATGACTCTCTCTACATTTACATACTAAGTAATAACTACTTACCAAATAAAAAACCTGTCTGCCAATTTGACCACTGACCCAATTTTAGGATCATAAATTTTTAAAATTGGTGAAAATATTACTGAACCAGTTAAATGTTTTGCAATAAAGTTCTTATAATACAACATAGCAATCGCATTCTTGTTAATTATAAACAACTGTGATTACCAGTAATTATGGTTTAATAACTATTGAACATATTCCTGGTGCCTAGAAATGGTTAAGAGTGATTTATTTACCTCTTCCTGCTGCTATAATTGATAGTTTTAATTGCCCATAAAACGGACAGGTATCACAGCAGGTATAGTGTGCATTGCCTTGTTACTTATGGACTAAGGCCCGGTCTTATTTTGTGGCCCGGTTTCCACCAAAGCGGAAAGCGGGATGTGTCGGGTCGTCAAATGTTTCTATAGAATTTGCGGAGCAGAGATGAGAAAATCTGATTGATTATTCAAAACTCTTCTCCGCTCCCCTCCGCTCTGCTCCATCTTGATGCAAACCGGGCCTAAGAGCTGCTCTGTGGACGCCAGGACGACCCTCACTATTTATCAGAGGCACAAGCGAAAGTTAGTTTCCACACTGATGTAAACTACTACTAACTTACTGAGTTTCTTCCGCCACTTCTTCTCAGCACCAGCCCATATGTTGTCCCGAAGTGGTGGTAGGGCAAGCTATAGGTATTTGGGACGTGCATAAGTGCCATGGAAAGGGCCTATGTACTGAATAAAATATTTGAATTTGACTCCTCAGCATGCTGTGGCCACTTTTGGTGCTAGGACTGGGCGGGCTGTGCGTCTCCGCGTGGCTGCAATGGCGGTACAAACACCGAAGGCTGCTGAAGATGGCCGAGGACTTCCCCGGGCCCCCGACCCTGCCTGGCCTTGGCAACGCTCTGCAATTCATGTGCCAGCCTGAACGTAAGTAGAGGACTATCCTACTTCCTATCTACAGTAAAATGGGATCTGTTGATATTCTTTCATATTTGTCTGTCTTTCTCTCTGTCTTTCACATTCTTTCATATTCTGTCTTTCATATTCTTTCATATTCTGTCGGCTGTTTGGTGTAGTGGTTCGAAACGGACTACTATTCCGGAGGTTGCGGGTTCGATTCCCGCACAGTACAAACATTTGTGTGCATGAACATATTTGTTTGTATTGGACTGGGTGTTTTCTATGTATAAATTGTATAATATGTATGTATTTACAAAAAAAAAGTATTTAAGTATGTTTATATCCGTTGTCTAGTACCCATAGTACAAGCTTTGCTTAGTTTGGGACTAGAAGTGCAGTGTAAAATTTCCAAAGATATTCTTTCACGGTAATCAATGCTGCGAGTCCGACCAAATTTTGTAGGTAAGTATTTGAGACACAGGAAAAAGGGGGGACAGATATGCGTGCTTTCTGTGACAGATCGAAGTTAACGCGGTCAAAGCCTCAACAAATTATTAAGGAAAATGTGTTTTTGTCTGTTTGATACGTTTTTTTTATGACTTAATCCACAATCCACTGGACCAACTTTGAAAAATTATCTTGACGAATGATAGGAGAAAAAGCTTATGTTGATTCCAAACGAAAATAAACATGAAGATGACGGTGCAAGTAGACTCTATTGTTCTTATTTCCCACCGGGTCCATGAAATTTAAAATGTTCTGATCATGCTTTTTTATTTTTGATGTCGTGGACCCGTTGGGAATCAAAGTAGGTATGAACTAAGAAACAGTAGAGCTGTGAACCTTTGGGAAAAAGTCATTAATGGATGTCGAAGAACTGGCAAATAAAGAAACGTTTCATCTCGCCGATGTATGTTGGTCATTGATTTTATTTTTCAAACGGTCACTTGGGTCACCCCGTGCCACCGTATTGCGGTGCAATTTTTCAATTATCTCCAACGTAATGGTCAGGTCACCGAGGTGCCTTGTCTCTAATCAATGCAAATCAAAATAATCGTCCCGTTTCCGCGAACTGCAGGTCGCAGCGGACATAATGGCTGTGTCAACAGAGATTATCTGAATCAACGACTTGTAATTAGCGTTGTTGATAAATAAAAGGATAATTGACTCATTGAACGTCGTATAGTACTGCTTGCTTGAAACTACAAGCATCCAAGGATCGATCAAGATCGCTTCAACCAGGCGGAGAGCAAATTACTGATAAACATTCTTCGCCAGCAAAACTATTGTAATCTTTAACTAAATTATGATCCTAAAATACAGCTTGATTAATCGGAGGTCCCATATACATAACTCAATCGTTTTTATCTGAAGTCTTAAGGTACGATTTTTGATCAGTTAATATCAATAGTTATTTAAGTAGTAGTAGGTAATTATAAAGTTGACAACATAATAACTGAATTATGAAACTTACAACCAATATGTGCTCGTGCGGAATAAATAATTATTTAAATAGCGTTAGATTACTTGGAAGGATTATGATGAAACTAACCCGTAGTTAATTATGTAAGTAAGTACCAAGACAATAATTACTAACCACTATTAATATAATGAATGGTAAACGAATTGGTTCATAAACGCACAGTAGGTGAAAACAAAAGTGTACGAATCAAACAATATAGTTTGTATTCCCATAAGATTGTTGTCATCTACGCCCTAAAAGAGCAATAATTAGGAACCCGTGAACGCCAGACCGACGAACTGGTGAAGGTCGCGGGAGGTGCCTGGATGCGAGCGGCGCAGGACCGGTCTTTGTGGAAATCCTTGGGGGAGGCCTATGTCCAGCAGTGGACGTCTTTCGGCTGAAACTTACGAACGAACGCCAGACGTTCGGTATTTTATGGAAGATGAAAGGTTGTCAACACATTGGAGAACGATGGATCATCATTATGTTTGGACTATCGTGGCTTTGGCAGTGTGTTCACATGAAATTCTAGTTTTGCAGAATCTCTCATTATTGGATCCCGAAAAACGTAATGTAAAAACGAGGCAATAAAGTATTATCTTATTTTAAACAAGCCCTAAGCTATGGAACTATCAATTTCTAATCATCATAATTTATGCCAACCAGTATTTTTTTCATTTACGATAGTGGATTCCGAATCAGAAGTAACGAATCTAAATAGAATCAATCGTTGCAAATAGGTCACTTACTTACGTATTTTTGCCATTGAGATCATAGTTTTCCCCTTTAACTCAGTTTCTAGCTTTCTCTTGATGGTGAGCTGATGAAGTCAAGTACTGGATACCTCAGAACCTTCGGCAAAGGATCTTGGTAACTCGTTTGCCGAAGATTCTGAGGCCACCTGTTACATGGCAGCTAACTTCTTGAGCTCCATTCTTTATTTTCTTCTTTTGCAGCCTGGATCTGAAATAGAAACAAATCTTATCAACAACGGTTGAATTTCATGGAGTAGGTACCTATGTTATCTATTTCTACCCACTTAAGGTAACGTACCTTTTCTGGGCAGTGTCACAAGTCTTCTCCAGTCCGCGAGGAGAAAACCTCTATAAAAAACCACTGGAGGAGAGGATTCGGGGTTCCCTCGAAGCCAGAGGAGCGAGCCTCTAGCACAGAATAAGTAATAGTACAGCCTCTAGCCTGAAGCGGAACTGCGGACGAATGTCCAACCAGGACAATAACTCACGGCTCCGTTTCTTTGGGCTCTAGTGGAAACCGTCGGGTTTTAGTGGGTAAGCGGGGAGAGTCCCCGGTCATTCTCACGATTAGGCGTTCTCAGTCTAATTACCATATCATTTTTGAAATTTGGCTTAATTGACTTAAACGCATTTAAATATAAAACACCTGAAAAGTACGAATTTAACAATGGTAAAGGCGTCAAATTATTCAAAGCGGTTTCCGCGCAAATGAGACCCAAAAATTTTATGGTCACGGTAATTAGATAAGGCTAATACTTAATCTAACGGTAATTAGAAAAGATATGTAAAATAACAAAAAAGCAACATCTTGCATTGATAAATTTGTACACAAATATATAGCGTCATAAAAAACGCTATAGGTACTCTTAATACCTAACCCTTTTTAAAAACAAAAACACTAATTTCTATTATTTATTGAATCAGAATATTTTCAGTATACTGCAAGAATCGAGGCTATAACAGGAACACTTAGTTTCAGCAAGAAGGGGCTACGTGTCACATTTCAAATGAGAGCATTTAGCTGAATCTGAATCATCATTTATTTGCTTTAAATGTGGTACAAACGATGGATAGAGATAATGGATCTCAAATGGTCTCTTCGGATATGCGTATATCGAAAAATTCATTAATGATATTAGTGTTTTTTTCCTCTTTTTAATCTATCTGCGATCAGCCATCATCCATTATCAGATTTTCTTTTACAATACGTTTTCAGATTGATGCTATTCGCTTTCTCCTGAGCCTGAATGTAGAGTTCTCAGAATTTAGAAGGGATGCAGCAAATAGATTTCCTCTTTGACGTTTGGTATAACTTCAGTGGACTTTGTAAACCAAGGTACACAGCTCAAGATTTTTAATACTTTATTTTGAAAACGTTAAAGTATTTCTACATTTGCTAGGCTGGGTAGGCGATGCCATATGTCTACATGGTTCTTGGGATGCATTTGTAAATAGTTTGTTCTCCAAGTTGCTTCTGCCCAGTATCCATTGCATATCACGAAGTTTTTTCTATGCATAACAAGGCAGGTAGGATGCAGTCTAGGATGGTACAAAGTGTCTATACACTCTCGCCTTGAAAAGGCCCATTGTCTGTTCATTTGTTCCCTTTTGTTCTTAATGTGTTCACGCCAGGTAAGTGTTACTGTTGGACAATCTCCTCTTCTTAGGGCGAAGGTAATATGGATCGATTTTAATGGTATTATACATATAAATATTAATTAATGATTGAACATGCTAATATCGATGACATTAATAGTAAAAATAAATATCTGGTTCCAGACATGTTTCACGCAGGGGTGACGTCTCCTGACCATCAGGACGCCCCGATTTTACTCCAGCTAACTTCTTTTAGTGGGGTTACCTTATCCTCGTAAGCCCGGATGTGCCTCAGAAGGAACTGAAACTTTGTAGTCAGTAACGCCGAGACATTTTCGGAGGTGAATTGTAAGTATCGCCGGATGTGCCCTCAGAGGAACTAAAACTTTAGCGATAATTTTAAGTTCGAAAATTCGCGCCTGTTGAATAAAAAGAGTGATAGTCTATGGCTTAAAGTATTCAAAATCAGGTATCCGAACTTATTAATGTAAAAAAAAACAAAATGTCACTGTCAAATTATCATTTTTCTCTGACAAGGTGGTTCTTTCGAGAGGACGTGATGTACAATTATTTTTTTTTCTTCACGTAAACGTAGTTTAATTGAAAAACTAANTGCACTTTTATAATTTTTATCACTTTTTCGATATAATTTTCACAACGACTGCGGGGACTGATCGTTGTTTTAAGCACAAGTTACTTCGACGGGAATCAAAACGCCAATGAGGAAATTATGGCGCGCTCAACCAAAGATAACAAAAAGTGAGCGTCCATCCACCAGGTGTCGCCACTGGACCGGATATTGACTACGGAAATTCATAGAAATTCGACAGGAAACGGAAATGCTATCTCAATATAAAGCTTCCAGTGACGGTCAAGTAATTTAATAGTTCTTTGCAAGGAACATTCGGTCTTGATGGTGAAAGTTTTATTTTTGTATATTTTTTCTATTGAGATGGATTGAATATTGGACTTTTAAAATTATGATATGATTGAGAAAATTTACCATGAGAACGTTCTGATTTTTAGTTTAATAAATATTATAATTAACATGAATATTCACTTTACTTCTTATACATTCTAACCTTTCATTATCTATCTATATTATATAAAGCTCGATTCCTACTCACTGACTGACTCACTCACTGATCAGGGGTATTTTTGGGGTATTTAGAGGGGAGAGGGGTAAAATTGTAAGTGTTTGTTTTAAACTA